GGTCTTGCTGCAGTCTTTTTTTTTTTCTTTTTAAGTGAAAATATGTAGGATGTTTTGTTGTTTTGATTGTTATCCCTTAGAATTTTGAAAAGTGAGCTAGCAGGGCAAATTGCAGATGAATAATTGTGATTCTGGAAAATTAAATTGAAAGATGTATTATCAAATGCATAGTTAAAGCTTGACTTTGCAGCATCGTGTTTAACTATGTAGAAATTATGTGTCATAACTGTTGCCCATTTCAACTGCATTTGGAAGGAAAACAAAAAATGAGAACACAATCCTGGAGTCCTAGATATTCCTTAGAACTGTGGGCAGTTATTGTAAATAGAATTTCCTTTACTTCCTGTAATGAACTGTTTCAAAATGAGCTGTGTGCTGTTACATGTCTGAACATTCAAAAGACCAAATCCTGTTTTTTTTCCTGTCTTGCAGGCATACAGTTGTCCCATGTGGGCACCCCATTCTTACTTGTACCCCCTGCACCAGGCCTACTTAGCAGCTTGTAGAATGTACCCCAACGTGTCCCTTCCGGTGTATCCACACAACCCCTGGTTCCAGGAGGCTCCGCAGACCCAGAATGAAAATGAAACTGCACGAACAAACAGGCACTTTCCTCTTCAGAGCGAGGCCCCATCCAACGGTCAGATTCCACAGGTTGACAGTAGATCTCCGTCTCTGCCTCTGATCATACCTACAGCTCAAGTGTCAGAAAGTCAAGGACAGGTTTGTGTAGAACCAGAGAATCCAGTGCAAGCTCTTCATCCAAGCTATGAGGAGTCCCTGAGAGGGAAAAATATGTTCCCACAGCCACCCTTTGGACACAATCACTTCCTAGGAGCTGTTCCCATAGCACCTCCTTTCTTTCCTCACTTCTGGTATGGGTACCCAGTTCAAGGTTTCATTGAAAATTCAGTAGCAAGACCCAATGTTGTCATGTCACCTGAGGACAAAGAAGCAGCAGCAGCTAGCACCTCTGTGAATGTGTACATGGCTAAAGAATGCAGCCCTTCAGTCCCTCTGGTAAACTGCACAGAACAGCTCCAGAAGACTAACGGCAGCAGTGTCTCCAACACTGTGACATTCCCAGGGGCTAGCGCAAGGAGTGAACGCAGCGCCCCAAAAGAAGCTCCAGCTAGGGCACCTCAGTTGGACCAGACTTGTCCCTCGGCTTCTCCTGCTAAGCAAAAACCAGCTGGGCAGCAAAACCGTTCTCTGCAAATACCAGGGACAGAGAGGCAGACAGTGGTGCCCAACAGTCCACCACTGTTGGCAGAAGCACCAAAAAATGAACTGAAAAATACTGGTGCCAGTCGTAAGGAGAAGACTGATAAGGTCAGAGATTCCAGGGGTGCTGGCCATCTACAGATGGAAAGCAGGGCACAGAGAATGAGGGAAGAGAGCTCTGAAGACGAGAGTGAAGTCTCTGATATGCTGAGAAGCGGTAGATCCAAGCAATTTTATAACCAGACATACGGAGGAGGCAGAAGACCAAGACTTGAGGGGGGTTATTCTGGTAGGGGAGGACACCAGTTGCAAAAAAACGAGGAAGCCTGGAAAGGACCACCCAGCAGAGGCAGAGATGACGGCTACCAGTATCAGCGAAACTTCAGAGGGAGGCCGTACAGGAATGACAGGAGAAGGGCAACACTGGGAGATAATCAGAGGGGGCATCAAGCATAGAATGAATGGATAACTGAAAATTTTAAAATGCAAGAAGTAATTTGGAGTAGCAGTTTAAAATCTTACTTTTTCTTTTTAGTAAAGTTCAAGGATATGTTTAACTTTGGGCAAGCAAAGACTAAGAGGACATGAACTCCTGCTATGTTTTTTGGGGGATTATAGAGTTTGTTTGGCTTAGCATTTTTCCTCAATGTCAAATTAGAAGAAAACAATATAGGTTTAGTGTTTGATAATTTTCTTTCCCCACAAAGGTTTGAGTTTGTGATAGAAGATGGATACATACATGTACTAGAGTGACAAATATAGCATTCGACGTGATCTAGATTCTAAAATTGATGGTAACATTGCACCAAATATAAATGTATATTTTATCATACAATGCCTTAGTTCTGAACTGAGCTAAAGGAATTCTCAGCCTACTGCACTGTTGTCTTTGATATGCTTCCAACCCAAAGGCCTTTCATCTCAAAAAAAAAAAAAAAATCTGTCAGACTTGAATGTTTCTCTTCAGTGTATTACACGTACAGCAGCCAGCTAACCCTGTGTCTTAGGTATGTTGTATATAGTTATCTTAATATTCATAGGGTATATTTTTGAATTTTGAAAAGCATTTATTTGTTGAAATAAAGATCAAGACAAGCAGTCAAGAATAGCTGTGTATAAATTGGTAAGGATGGCTGTTTCCACCAAGAATTCTTAATGCTGGTGTGACTAGAATGGTGCCTATGCCAACTAAATAATTACAAAGACAATAAAAATGTAGATGCTATGCATTTCCAAAATAATTCTGCATCTGTTATAATAGCAGAAGTTTTTTTAATGCCACTTTAACACTAATGCACTGACAAATCCTAGGTATTTTGTGAGGAGAGATGCATAAAGTACATGTTACTTTTTTTAAGTTTGTATGATTGAGCTACTGTTCAGTATTCTTTGTGTTGTTGCACTGTTGATGCAAATGTCTGTTTTGCATGTACAACTCCTTGCTGGAACTGCTTTTAAAAGCAAGATGGAGAGTCTCAGTGTGCTCTGCTCTTCCCTACAATTCAGAAGAAAGTGGCTTCTGCCTTATATTTTTACACTGTGTCAGAGTTCTGATGCTGTTTCTTCTGACCCTGATAATGATCTCTGCAGTGTTCCTGTGGCCTTTGCAGTTTGGACGTTCAGCTGTCCAGACTCAGAGAGTGCAGCGTGCACAGTATTCACTCGGCTCTGTTGCTCTGTAAAATTAACCGTTGTGTATATTTTTATATTTCTGTATATACTCGTGTAGGTGATGGTACCCTTTCATTCATGTCTGAGATTGTACGCCCTTCATCAGGAAACTTGAATGATAGTTATGTGATGAAGAATTTCTTTTCAGATGCATGCCATGTATAAAACCCTAATTAAAATACATGTCTGTCTTTTCACTTTCTTTCTAGATGAATTTATATATTTGAAACTGTTGCAAGGGCATTGAATGTATGCTTTTGCTCTCGCAGAGCCACATCTGGACAGCAGCAGAACTAAACAATTAGTTAATATGTAGGCAAGCTGGAAAAGGGTACATAAACTGTATTTCTAGTTCTTGTCCAAAAGGGTAGTCATGGGGGCTATGTTGAGTTGTTTTTTTTTTGTTTTGTTTTTAAATCTTAATGCTTTTCCATTCCGAAATGTATTCAGGATTTCAAGAGAGGCAATCTTCAGTTTTTCAGGTTGAGAACTAACCAGGCCCTGAAGGAAGTAAGTTGATACCAGTGTGGTCCTCTGTTTGCTACTTACACAGAGACTTAAAAGTGGCTTCTTGTCGTCTTTCCTGGGAGGTTCTACACTGTAACTCCAGTTGTAGCGCAGATCTGTCTAGCAGTTGCTGAAATAACCATTCAGTACTAGAACAGGTATTTAAGCGTGAGCTTTGGTCTAAGAACAAAGGCAATATGCAGAAACTTCTTGGGAAACCATGGAAGAGAGGCATGGCAGTAACTGCTAGGGCTGTGCTTTTAGAATTCACTTCTAAAAAGTGACTTAACGTACTGAAGCTGGGCCTATGCCCTGCCTTACTGCTCTAGGCCAGGCGCACCAATGTAGTATTTTCAGTGTAATAGAGAGGGACTTGTTGTCAGTTAGAGAGAGCTAGGTAGAATGTACGTAACACTTGTTACTGACAAGGCTGTGAAAGATCACAAGTTACTAGCACCTAATGGCAGTGGCTTGTCTTTTGAAAGCCATCTTCTATAACTTCAAGCAAAGATGAAAATAAAGAAGAAAATGTTTTATTTCAACGCTCGTATTAACATTTTTCACATGCCAATGAAGGCAGAATAAGCAATTTTGCATGGAGAATACCCTTCCTTACTTTTAAGACACATAGATGAAAGTTATTTTTACATGTCTGCAAAACTTGTGTAACACTGATGTACGATCTCTTCCCTGTTGTCTTTGAAGCATCTGATTTGGTTTTGTAAATCCTCTTTTAGTTAGGGTTCTATTAAAGCCCCTAGAGACAAAGTCTGCTTTGCTGTATGTATATAAATTGAAACCTTACTCAGTTCAGCTTTTTAGAAAATCCTCAAATCTGAGGTACACCCTCTGCTGACAGATGAGCTCCATGCCCTCTTTATTCCTTGACAAACTCTATCTACATCGCCCATTTCTTAGAAGGCTTTAGGCAAGTGTTCTCTTCAGCTCCGTGTAGCTCTATGACAGTCCAGGAGGAGGGTTTTGCTGATACGGTGTCAGTACTTTGTGAAACAGATGGCTTCACTACCCAAAAACCAACTTCCTCTAGTATACTGCACAGTTTGGAGATCAAGCAGCTGGAAAACAGCCATTCATTAAAAACAGCCATTCATTAACTTTTCTTCAGGATGCAGATTAAAGTTACAGAAGATTGAAAGGATGTTAATGCTTTCTTTAAGACTTTATTTAACTGATCATTCTCCTATAACTAGGTCTGAGAAGATGCACAGGGACCCATGACTAAAAAAAGGTGTAGATTTCTTCATTTATGTTGTTAGTATAGTTTGTGCTCCATCTTTTGTGTGTTCCTTTCTATAGTATGAGGTGTATATGACAACATATGGACACTTCTGAGTGTAGGATTCAAGAATTTTTGCATTGTGTCACAGAAGAAAGGAAGATTTTTAAGAAATCCTAATCGAGAGGGATTCAGCCTTTTTAAAATAGGAAGGGCTGCTGTAGCTTGACATTCTTAGTAAGCTTCTCATAACAGAAAGCAGCTTCCCTGATTTTTAAAATAAGGAAGTTCAGTCAGTACTTGGTACATGAGTATAATATATTGAAAATTGCCTTGAAATTTTGAAAAATCTGGAGACTCATTTGCACAACTTCAAGGTGGTCGATTTTGAAATTATTACACTGAAAACAGGACTGTGTCACCAAAATATAGAAAGTGGCAGTTTTACTCCGACTAGGTAGGATTTACACCGCTACTGGTCTCAGATGTTACACGCAGCAAGAGTTTAAGCTCCAAAAGATGAAGTGTTCTAAAACCTGATTTTGAGCCTTCTCCTCCACAAATGTTTAGATTCCAATATGCATTTCTATATGCCAGTTACAAAAGATGCTCAGATTCAATATTTAGTCATCCAAGAAAAAGTAGTTTCCACTCTTCTTTTGTTCCACATCCTTGGGAAGAGAAAAAAGGTCAATGTTACTTGAAGTAGTCTTTGACAGACTTGAACACAGCTGAAGTAAAGACACCTATTACTCAATTCACATGCTCTTTTCCAGCACAGCAAAACTACCGGGGTAGTCTTCATTTTGTTCCTTATTTTAAACCTGGCTTCATACTACAGTCATGGCTTTACTGTAAAGGTGCTTTTCTCTTACCTTGATTGAATTGAGTTTGTTTATTCTTGGTCTGTAATTGTTGGGGTCTCTTCTAAATGTGATTTCAAGTTGAGATAAAAACTTATTCATTCCAGCCAAAAGGGTCTGTGGACTGTCAAGAGAGAAGAACATTCCAGATAAATTTTCCGAAGTTCTCTACTGTGTGGATTACAGGCAGCTTTCATCTCCATCCTGAGCTCACTCAGGTCTGCTAACGCCAGTGTGAGCTGTATTTGCCAGACTGGGATGTGCTACAATTTCAGTCAAATAATGTCTCAAACAAGAAGTTGTAACTACTGCTCTCATCTTTCAGCAGTATCTCAGCACAGCGCTACAAGTCTTCAGCCTGCTACCTTTACACTCTTACGTACGCATTTGTTTGTGCTGGCACACATTGTTACTCACATTTGAAGAAAAAACACAGTTGCACCATTAGCAAGATGTAACAAAAATAACAACATACACTGATGCTGAGAAACATGATTAAGTGATCAGGATTTTTTAATTCAAAACAAGTGTGCTCTTAGAAGAAACACCAACAAAACCCCGCTAGTGCTGTGTTGTAAACACACTGCTAGACCAATGTGTTTACTTCACCTGGCTCATGCTAAGTACTTGGTAATTACACTGTTCTAAAAGCCTGGTTTCTAATAAGGTTGCTCCTCAAAAGGTCTCTCTAATTTACACAAAGTGATTTAGAGGAACAAAAGTAGACATATCAAAAGGGACAGCTTTGAAAGAGTAAAAATCATAGGTAGCATACACTAGACGTTGCTGTCACAACTTGCTCTTCACAATATTTGCATCCATGTACCCTTAGTACACTGCTTTCTCTTCATACAGCTGAAAGCTATTTTCATAAGCATACCTAGTTTACCATTGGTCCTTTTTTCATTCCTCACAATCAATGCCACTTATTTGTTTTCCTCTGATTGTAATTTAATTGGTGTGTAGTTGCTTAAGGCTAGTTTAAGACAGAAGCTGGTTTGCTTTTTCAGGGCTTGGTTACTTCTCCAATTATGCCTCAACTGTGTCTAGGCAGCCTTGAGGAGTGGACCAATCCCATCTTCTTTTCCTCACTTCAGAACAAAAGCCAGAACCCTGTGGACACTCTGGGACCACTTTAAATGCAGCTTAAACTTCCATACACAAGGATGCTTCACCTCCTTATTTCTGTTGATGCTTCTGATAAACTATTTCTACGTTGTCCTCTTGCATCTTGCTTAGTAACCCAAACAAGTCTCTTACCTGTTTGCAAGTGTGTTCTTGGAAGGAATACCATCGAAAACAATCACACGATCGGCGAGATATGTAGCCATGATAAAATCATGTTCTACCACAAAAGCTGTTTTTTTAGCATGAAGAATGAAACTGGAACAGAAATAAAAATAAAAGAGCTGAATGTTAACTTATTGTAAAGCTACTGCAAATTTCAGGTATTTTTCTCATCAGATGTACTTTACCGTTTAATGACTCTAGCAGCCATTAGACGTTGTTCAGAGTCCAAATATGCTGACGGTTCATCAATTAGGTAGACATCTGCAGGTTTACCAAGACAAAGAGCTAGTGCAACACGCTGCAACTCACCACCAGACAACGTTTGAACCTATTTGGGCAGGGAGAAATAAGGCCATATCTAGGTCAGGTACAGGTAGAGAATTTAAGAAGAAAAGTTAGGAAGTTACTCAGGCCATTCATACCTCCTGGTCAATGATATTTTCTATTTGAAGAGGTTTCATGACATCAGTTACAAACTGGGGATGTGTATAGGCGTCTCTGATCTTCTCATGCAGTAGCTGACGGACACTTCCCTATTAAAAGAAAAGTGCTGCCACTCATTTTTATGCATCACAACAAAAAACCCAAGAAGAAATAGCATTAATAGAGCTTTTTGTTCTGGGCATAAAGAAATTCTACATGTGTGTACTAAGAACATGCTTTTTGTAGAAAACACAATACTTATAAGTAAGGCTTAAACGTACTGTAGATTTAGGACTGATCTTCTGTGGTTTGTAGCTGACGTTTAGAACTGGGACCTCACCTACAGAAGGATAAAATTTATAATGAAAACAAAAGCCTTTCCAGTATCCTCAAAATAGGTTTCAACTGAGGTATTAAGCACTACCTCCTTCATCAGGTGTAAGTCTTCCTGCAAGCATTCGGATAAATGTAGTCTTGCCAGTTCCTAAAATAAAATGGAGGTTACTTATTACTTCAGACTTTTCAATAACTTAGACCTCTAGCAATCAAAGTCAAGACTTAATCAAGAATACATTTCAAATTAAGACTGCTTTGAGAATTCTTATATTCACTTCCAAACAAGCAGCACTCGCTATGACTTGGTTTCTCAAATGGAAGATACATCTAAAGCTGCAATAGTCTGGACTTGTGGCCAAGCTCACCAGGTCAATCATCATCCTGACAATTTAAGCTCTTAAAACGGGGTAAGAGACAAACACAATGGCATCCTTAACATTCAATAACTTCAGGTTCCCACTATTCAGACGGCGAGCTCGTGGTGTGACACCTTCACTAGGAAACAAGCAGTTCAGCCCGACTCAAACCTGGTAATTTTGAAGCCTGGCTCCCAGACTGAAAAAGGGCTTTAAGGAGCATATTTAGGGCTGTAAAAGCAGTTTCCAACAAAAAAATCCACTTACCGTTTTCCCCTAACATCACCATAATTTCAGAATCGGTGAATTCTCCAGCGACTATGGATAGTTCAAATTCTCCCATCTTTTTTTTCATTCCTGGATATTTATACATACACATCTTTTTAACCTCTTCTTCATTAGCTGTCTCGGCCACTTTAAATACCAGAGATGCATCTCGAAACCTCAGATTTTCTGTTGGAACGTAGCCATCTAAGAAAATGTTTATGCCTACAAAGAGAAGAAAAAAAGACCATTAAACAAAGGTCTACAACAAGGTAAGACAAGATGGATTTTAATTCCTGGCTGTAACTTCCAGTCAGATAAGGAGAACATCCCATTTGAAATCCAGTGTTAAAACAGGCAACAAAACCTTATATTTGAAAGTGTGGAAATCATGCAAACTGAATGAAGAAAAAAATCTTACTACAATTACAGAAAAGCTATAGAAGCTCTTTCTGAAAAGCTGGTATTAGTCATGTGTGTAGGGTTTAAAGAAACCACTGCTGTTGGACCCATTCTCATAACAACATCTATCAGAGAGTCTCAGTGCTACAAGTATGGTCAATTCAGTTGAACACTACACACCTCTGTACTGGGCAAACTCTCTCCTGCCCTTTCTCTGCTATTTACAGGATCTTTTGTGTAACTCCACTGTTTACAAAACACCTGGAAGTATCAAAATTCTGTCCAGAGCAAGAGATAAGGGGCATTTTATAATTAAGACTTCTGGCGTGAGTTATAAATTTAGGATCATGTAAAATGGGAATTTTGCACAAAACAGAACAGCAGTTTTTTAGTTACTGAACTATAACAGGAAGAAAACGTTCACGTAACAGACAACTAACATTCTGGTACCCTTTTTTTCTTCCATATTTTTTTTCGTATGTTTACAAAGAGAAATATGACAAGTATTACCTTCTCTTACGCTGAAAGGCATAGTAACAACACCGTAAGCACTTGGCACACCATACAGGCAGCAGATGAAGTCAGAGAGATAATCTAACACACTTAGATCATGCTCTACGACAATAATGTACCTGAAAAACAGAGCCAGGGAGATGCTTTTATACTTCAATACAAAGTGTTTTTTCTTTCTTTCTTACTATAGTCTTGCATAAACAAAAGCTATCAACATGATTTTCATTTTATACGGTTTCTTAGCTTTATACTAACTAAGGACAGAGTTGAAACCTCTGATAAGCATTTTCTTAAAGTGTCCAATAAACCAACATTGAGAGTGACAAAGTTCATCTTCAGTGTAAACTGTCAGCTTCTTTATTTACAGGGAGTGTAAGGATATTGATTGATTGGAGTGAAAATAACTTAGCACATTTTAAGGGGGAAAAAAGAAAGAAAATCTTTATGAGAAGGGAAGGGAACAGCAATACCCAGGTGAAAAATAACCACCTATATTTTCACATCCTTATTACAAAATTTACCCCAATGCTGAAATGGTACAGAAACAATGTGAAATAAGTTTCCAAAATGCAAAAGAATAGAATATTACTGACCTAGAATATTTTAAACATCTATTAGTGTACCAAAGAGACAAGTAAGCACTTCTAGGGAGATGGACTAGATGTTTCTTCCCTCTGTAAACAGTCACCTATAAAGACCAGCAAAACATTTAAAGTTTATATTTACCTGTCAGGGTTTATTAGGGATCGAATAGTAATGGCAGCCTTCAAGCGCTGCTTGACATCTAGGTAGCTAGAAGGTTCATCAAACATGAAGCTAGCTCCAAAAGAAAGAAAGAAGTCTCAGTCACTAAATGCACAGAAATGAAATATTATCATTATTTACATGGAGAGAGACAAAAAATGAGAATTATATACTGACACCTGCCTTGAATATCTGATGACTGTCACATGAACTCGTTAAGTGTTTCAAGTAAAATACTACTTCAACAAAAGCTCTGACAAAGTTATCAAATGTTACAAGAAATCAGCAATGAGGAAACTCATGCACTCAGTTCTGATTCAGCTTAAATTTAACAGCAACTGGTAAGTGCAAAAACACTTTAGGAGACTGGAAGAAGGGCATCTTCCAAAAGAGAAAACCAAAACAGTAAAACAAACAAGAAAAACCACCCCAAACCTGCACCAACCAAAAAAACCCAGCAGTCAAACAGAAAAACCACAACCCAACCAAAACCAAACCAAATTAAATAAATAAAAAAAAAAAGCTAAATAAAAATCCCCAAACCCCGAAACTCTTCTGATCTTGCTCTCTTGGTCCCAAGGAGTCAGGAAACAGCACAGGCTAGACAGTAATTTTGTGGTTGTATGGCAAGAGAAGAGGGACACAAGTTCCCAAAGGTGGGGAAGGATCTGCCCATTTTTTTATTCAGAGAGGCTGAGAGGTGCACTGTCACACACGATACATTCATGTGGGATTAGGGAATGTTATGAAGTTGAGATAATGAAATTTAACACTGTCCTCTGAATTTTGCCATTTCCAGTCCAATGACTTAAAGTATAAAAAAGCCAGAGATTATATAAGGAAGAAATTTGGATCTCAGCTGCTGAGTTGGTGCAAACATTTTTTTTCAATCCTTTTGTTCAAATATTTCAAACAAAAGTATTATTTCTAACAATAAATATAAATCAGAGGATCATACTCTGAAATAGATTATTAGAAGCAATGTGTAACAGAAGTAAATTAAACATACATATCGGCCTTCTGAATGCAAACAACTGCACAAGCAAATCTCTGAAGTTCTCCTCCTGAAAGGTCCTCAACATTTCTTTCTTTCAGATGTGTTAGGTCTGTCAATAAGAGGTTAATTTTAGATATAACTGACACAACAATTCATATTTTTATTACCTACAGAAACATGTATAATCACATATAATCACACCAAGGAAAAAACAGAAGTAAAGTAAGTATTCTGTTTGTATAGAAGCATCGTAATGCTATTTTTAAGTCCCAGCAAGTTACAGCTTCTCTGCAGCATTAGCTGATTAATTTGTATGGCTGCTTCTCATCATGCAGGAGGATTATATTTCTATTTGTTTTTCCACCATATATTCAGTAAAAATTTCTGGCACTAAAAATAAACTATACTAGTTTTAAAAGCATTTCTTAGATGTTCTTTTTCTTAACTGCATTATTCTGACAAGTCAGTATTACTCCCATTATAATTAGCGATATACAGCTTTTTTGGGAGGGAAAAAAAAAAGGTTTTCTGTACTTGGATAATATTTTATATATGCAATAGCTCTCACAAGAGAGGATGCCAAGATTTTGCCAGAGTTGTAAGCAAGCAAGAGCAGCAGATGGTAACTGCAATTTTTGCAGATTTAAAAATAAACACTTTCTACCATGAAACAGAAAATGCTTTAGATTCCGTTAACTATCACGTATCAATTAGTTCGACTTTGCCACTAGGAAGTATTATTTGCCTTGATCCAGACATGCTTACAGCAAGCCCTAGGCTTTAACCTAAAGCATCTTGACTTTCTTCTTTTCCTTTTTTTAAAAACTGATATAATTTAAGTCTACTCTTTTATTAGTAGTAACTTGAAATGCCTGAAGTTTGACTTTACCAAAGCACTTACCGAGCTGCTGACATACAACAGTTTGTGTCTTAGTTTCATCTTTCCTATCCAGAATTGATCCCACTGTTCCCTGCATGAGAAATAATAAAAAACCCCACAACATTATTTCAACACCAAGTACTTCAGACAGTAGTAAATTTTTGACACTGAATTATGCTGCTGAATACAATCTTTAAATAATAAGAGAAGTATTACAGGAGAAGCTCCCAGCTTTCTATGAGCTAATGAAATTTCTTACCTTTGCAGCTTTAGGGATCTGGTCCACGTACTGAGGTTTAATGATAGCTTTCAGGTCATCTTCCAGGATCTTGGTAAAATAATTTTGTAATTCAGATCCTCGGAAATAAGTCAAAATTTCTTGCCAGTCAGGTGGATCCTGGAAAAAAAAAAAAAAAAAAAAAAATTTAAAGCCTATATTTACTTATACCATTCTAAAAAAAACAATTAAAAACGTCTAGTTTAAAAATTCCTATCAACACCACAAATAGAATATGCTTGCAAGATAACAAAAAAACCCAAACAAACAAACAAAAGAAGCCTGGATAAAAGCTAGTTACCAAACTCTTACATTGCCTCTGCAAAGTCTCCATTAAAAAAAAAAATAATTTCAAAATGGAGGGCAAAGTTCAGATTATTTTTTTTTCCAGGTGCACTGTCACTAGCCCTTTCAAGAAAAAACATTTTAGATTTCCACCTAGGACATCCAAAACTGTCCTTAGACAATTAAGAAGCTACGAGTGAAACTACTTCATGGGGAAAATGGTAGTATGGATTAGTGTAACTGCACTTACTTGCTGTCTGACCCAGCTAATCCAAAGGAAAAGAGTTGGAATGATAAAATCAACTTGCACAAAAGATGCAATAAAATTCGGTTGTTTTCTCTGCCTCTAGCAAACATTTCCAAGGACGCAGGAGAAGACAAGAGAAAAATGACCAAAAAAAAAGGAACAGTCGAGAGCAATCACCTGGGAAAAGTCCCGACTTGTATGGTTTTGCTTTACACAGCCTACTATGAATGGTAGCAAATTAATTATTCTGATGGTAAACAGTACAGAAGGAGTGTCACAGCCAGATTTCCAAACCAAGCAAATGCACAGAGGAAATGCTTCATCAGTTTTAGAGCAGAAACATGGAAGACTCGATTTATACCATGTGTTTTTGTGGTCATAGCAATTTGTCTCTTCTCAGGAAAGTCTGACTTTGGAAGCATGGTAATTCAATTAAGTGCACATTCAGAAAGTTAAAAGTTTTGCTATTTCTACAATACTACCATCTGAAACTAGAAGTCCACAAAATAACATAAACCAAACTTGAAAGAGAACGGAAAATGTAGCTGCAAAATTATTACTTCTTTGCAGTTTTAGGTGTCAGCCATGAAATTAAAAAATTATTAAAATGTTACTTTTTTAGGTAAAGAAACTGATGAAAAAGTTTGAACACGCTTGTTTCTACACGTCTTTCTTGAAAGACTAAGGCGAGCATCAGAATTCAACTGTCATCATGTGATTTGAAGGCGAGAAGGTGATAACTGAAATGCTGTCTGATAAAGAATAACTATTGTGACTCTTTTTATGTCTATTCTCTAACAATATTCACTCTTTGGAGTAGTGTTAGGTAAACAAACCCCTGTAAATTATTTCACTTGCTGTCTGCAGTTTGACTTAGTGTTGTTCTATGTCCGGTTCTCAAAAAATAGTGTCGAAGTTTCTAAGTATCTAGCAACATGAAGAAACTAAGGATTTTCAGAACTCAGTATTAAAGTGTACAGTGGGAAACATCTTCAACAACAACTTATGATAACAACGTATTTTATAAGAGATCATCTTCAAAAGAATCAAAGATGAAAAAGCCTAAGAGATCACAAGGATACGCGGTAAGCGCTCATAGACAGGAGCCGTTCAGAAAAAAACAGTGAACTTGGAAGAAACTCCAAAACCTGAGCTACCCAAATCCCTTGATGGGGAACAGATAAAGTATGCAGGGAAAATTTTAAATTTTAAATTTTTAAAGATCGGTATAAAAAATAAACCTTTAAGTGTGACTTAAAACAGAAGCGCGTTTCTGATATTTATCTTCAGTGAGTTACAATTATAATTAGTATCCTCATCTTTCTTGAAAGATGTACAGAATTGGCAAAAAAGCCTCTGTTAACAACATCCTTCTACTGTTGTTTCTGTGTGCAATAGGTCACTGGCTGTCAACAGGGAAAGTGCCAATGTCCTCGCAAATCCTACCACATTCACAGACACGAAAATTCAGTGACAAAATATAACCACGGCTAGCTATAATGCCAACTCAATTTTATTGCCGATACATACATCATATTTTCCAAGATTTGGCTTCTGTTTTCCTGCTAGAATTTTCAAGGCAGTCGATTTTCCAATACCATTTGTTCCAACCAATCCCAGTACTTCACCTGGGCGAGGGATAGGCAACCTGTAGACAACATTGATAATTCTGGATTATATTAATGCCATCAGACACCAACATCTGGTAGTGAAGTAAACCTGTTTTCAGACTTTCTGATTACTTCAACCTACTCTGTAAACCTGCCAATATATAATTCAAATTAAATCAATATTCCTTAAAAATAGAAGACGATAAAGATTTAAGAGCTTTTCATTCTTTAAACAGGAGCTCTGTAAAATGAGCACTAAGATTTTATTTCATTATAAAACTTTTAAATAAGGAAAAAAGTAATTAACGTTCCAAAAGTACACTACTGAGGTAATAAGCAAGAACACCTTCATGGACGCTACGTTTAGACTACAAAAAAATTGAAATTTTAATCTTTTTTGCATTGATTTGGAAAATGAAATACCTATGAAGTTTGAAGGCATTGGCACAATATCTATGCGTTGTTTCTTTCTCCAGGTTGCTAGGTAAGTTAACAATGGACAAGGCTCCAAAAGGACATTTCTGTAATGAAAATAAATTCATAGATTACTAATGCACACAATTTATTAACAAAATGTTGCATTCCGTACTGTGCCCAACTGTGCATTTAAATATTTCTAAAATAACTTTTTTAATAAAACACTTCAGTTTCTTTACATACTCGACTTTCCATAGAAGTTCTATACCCCATTTGTCAAATTCAACAGTTAGCAATTTCGACTGTCAGTCTACAGTACAAATAAAGCACACTGCAGATATACTTTAGCTCTTTTACAAACACACCTTTCTACTGCTAGGTGTTTATAGCCACAAAACCAAACAAAACCAAAGCCACAAACAAAAAGTTACAACCTGCACCCTGCGACCCAACCAGCTCAGTAAAACGACACAGTACTTCACTTCATATAAACATTAACACTTCACTTCATATAAACATTAACAGTTAACAACTCTGATTATTCAGGGGAACAGAATTGCTTTATGAAGTTACAGTAGACATTGCTAAATTGAACAGGAGAATAAGGAAATTTAAATAAAGCAGCCTATCTTTTACCTTGATGCAAATACCGCAACCAATACAGAGTGTTTCCGAGATCCATGCTATTTTGGACTGTGATGTGACTTCTATGCAAAGTTTTCCTGCCAAAAAAGCGTAAGATTAACTCAACAAAATGTCTGATGAATCAGAATTCTTGCCAGCACTCCTAAATTCAACAGAGGAACATGTAACGGATTAACATTCACTGAAGCTTCAGATCATCTGAAGACTTGAAAAGCAGCATTACTACTATGAATTCCTCATGCTTTCAGTGGTAGTCAACTTCTAAAGGCTTCATGAAATTAAGCACGAATGATAAACAACAAACTAGCAGTTATAAAAAACTAGTTCCTCCTAGTAGCTTAAATACTTTGTTAAATTACATCTCTTACCCATTCGAACCACAGGACAACTCTTCTTGCATTCTTGACGGCATTTCTTTGGCTTACATTTGTCATGGTTGACAATAGCAATTCTTGTTAATTTGTCTGCCATAATGCACAATTTAGGGTTAAACGCCTACACCAGTTATGAGGAGGAGTAGTGGGAGTCTTCCAGATCTTAAAGAAGAAGAAAAAAAACCCAAACAGTTACTGACAGCACAGAGAAGAACGCACATATCTTAAGTTATTACTAGCAGAGTTCAGAGATGAAAAGGAAAAGGAGTTGATTTTTTTCCTCATTTAAACAAGATGGCAAAAATGGCAAAGACTCAGACATAAGTAGTAAGGGTACTGATGTGTAAATATCCACAGTAATCTTTTAACGTCAGCCTTCCATTCCATTACAATTTTTCCACTGTAGAATAAAACTGTGATTATATCAGAGTTCCATAATATGGTATGAATAACTATAATGTATTCCAATAAAAATAAGCACAGCTCTTTATAAAATGACTTTATTTATAGAAGAGAAAGCTCTTGGAGTACTAGATGAATAAATACCCCTGAAATCACAAATACATGCACTTGAAGAAGTTAAATTACTACTTCTGTTCCTCTGTCTCTTCCCTTGCTTAGGTATCAGTAATGCACATCAATAAGCACTACATTGTACTGGGATTTATGATGTCAACAATTGTAGCAGAGGGGAGGGAAAGACAGAGAATTTTGAATTTAAGTCCTGACAGATAAATAAGGATGGAATGTATTTTAAAGTGCATTTTTCTGCACACAGTAATAATGACTATATTCCTCTGAGCAACACACACTGAAGGACAGCTCCCTCCACACACTCCTGCTCCAGAACAACAAAGACAACGGAATTACAAGGCTCTTGGAAGTTTACAAGATATTACAAACGACAAACAGATTTTTTTAGGTCTAAAGAAAGACCATAAATAAAATAAAAAGCATTTCCAGTTCAACACCACTAAATACAGTGATGGCAGCCACGCAGACAATGCCAATTCTAAATAATTTCAATTCAGTGCAATATGTATCTGTAGTTCAAAGATATAACCGGGAAGGAGTCTTGAAAAATGTCAAGTTTCCACACAGTACACACATGGATTTCCTTCCGAGAAGAGGAATCCAACATTTATCCAATAAAGTATTTTCTGATAGATGTCCAGTTCATCTTTGCTCTTTGGTTTAGACACTATTTACTACACACAGCTATTATATGAAGAAGGGTTGTGACTTTCAACCTCCTAAAAAAAAGCAAGAATAAAATAGGCGTACGGCACATTTATCACATTAAACTCTATCCTTTCCTAAACCCACCTGTGAACTTTAGCTGGAAGGAATCCTACAGATACTACTGCAATATGAAAGGAAGGGACTTGCATCTAACAGGGTGCAAATGTCAGAAATGAGACATGTCAGTGAATGTTTAAACTCATTATTACCATAGTTATGAAAGTCTTTTCTTCTTAAAAACTACAAGGATGTTTGAGTCAGGGTAATTTTCTGGGAGACAGCTCAATGTTTCAAGTAAAGATATATTCTTTGGGAATATATCCAAATGCTTTTCATAAAAGTCCTGTAGTTCACAGTGATGGAGTATCTGGAGGTGAGTCACTCGCTCTCTCCTTGGTTTCCCAAGGGAAGTGCCTGATCTGGGTCAGTCCTTTCTCCAGCAATGCTGCTGTGGTGGAGTACCCTGCGCAGACAGACCACACTGTCTATCTTCCAGGCAGGGCTTTCCCTGCTAGTTATCTTAGCGCTAACTAGCATGCAAACTATTACTACGGGTTAAAAAAGCAAGCTCTAGAAGAGAAAGCTGCCATACTTCAGGAGCTTGCCTCCCCTGTCCAACCTGTCAAACCTCTGGCAGAGGCTTCTGCCCGAGCAGCACGGAGAGCAGCCCAGGCAGACCCTCTCCTCAGCCATCTCCCCTTACAGTCTGCTTAAAGTTAGCTTAAAGCACCAAAGGAGGAGTATGGGCTGGCAGTTGCTCTAAAAGACAAAGTCAAATGTGGCCTGAAACAATTACTTTTTGGCACCTACCTCTGTAAGCTTCCTGCCCAGCTTGGGACACTACTCTCCATTGCTGAATCAGACCTTGGTTGGTAAGTAATAAAACAGCTTAAGATTTTATTTTTGCTTCTAACTTACTTACATGGGAAAATGCCCACCTGTGGTGAAGAGTTTTGAAGTAAGTACACCAAGCATTTATCAAGCACTTGGTGGGTGGCAAACAGAACTAATGCACTGGCACGGAGACATACAAGCGTGCCTCCCTGCTCCCATCGACACAGCGGAAGCGGCAGTTCATCCAAAACCCTGTTGCGGTCTTAAACCATTTTTAGAAAAAAAAAAGTGTGACTCCTGTCACTTCTGCAATATTTCCAGGACTGCCCTGATGCCTATGATGATAATTGGCCACAAAATAAAATAACAACAACAACAACCATTTATAGTTATAACTGACAGTTTAGAGCAAATTAAACAACACTGTCCAAAACCAGACTGAACTCAAGTTACATACATATACGCAGTTATTTCAGTGGCATCTAACATACCGAACAGGATCCTCTGACTTCAAGGTGCAGACAGCAGAACACTCAAAACACAACACAGGCTAGCAACACATACAACATGCATAGACTACACTACAGCATACCAGTAATTGTTAAGTACAGTCAGCAGTTCAAGGGCAGGAGGAACTGGTATTCAAAAGCATTTAATTCATGTCTGTATTTCTGCCTTCCAAATAAAGAAGAACAGAACAGAAAACAAAGTGTGAAAATATTAGTTAGCTGCTAACTACAGAGTAAAGCATTATTTTGAATGAGTGAATTCTGATGGAGTGACAACAGAAAATCTTTCCAGAACGATGGACTAAAGACACAGGTGAAAGAACGAGAGAAGCAATAAGAACTGCTAGGAAGAAAAAAAAAAAACAAAAAAAAAAAAACCAAAACCCAACCATGACAGTGCCATTTATTGAAGCCAAAAGCTGTCCATTAAGTCAAATGATGACACAAATACTGGAACATGTCTATAAAGATGCAAAACATGTTATCATAAGCGTTTCAAGCCGGCATTCTTAGACTCTCTGATACAGCTGCTGTTATCTCTGACACACCAGGAGAAATGAAAAAAACCCCATGTAAGCAGACCTTGCTACCTGTCACAAAAGGTAACAGTAAAGTACAATCTGTGGAACAAATGTAATGTACTTGCATTAAGAAATACCAATATTTACTTTTTCTACAAACATTAGTGATATTAGAATTTACTACATCAAGTCAATTATGACCAAGAATGACTTGTAATCATGTTGAATTATTCAGACTTAAACAAAGAACATTTAAAAAAATGTAAATGAAGACTGGAATAAAACCAGAGACAAGTCAATTAAATGATGTGAAGGAGAGATCTGTGTTCTGAACTGAGCCATACTCTCGTTACTTTGCAGAACAGTTAACATTTTATTAAATTACACTGCATCAGACCTCAAAGATAAATGCTGTGGAAAGAAGTGAGGATGAGAAGCATTTGCACTTTTTTCCGAAAATAATTAACCTCAAGAGTTATCTCTCAATCCATTGCTAATGGACCATATACAGTCACTCCATGACAAGAACAATAAAGTTAAGAACTAGAACACTCAAAGAAAATTTAAATGAAAGACAAAGAACAGATTTTCAAACTACATATGGGAGATCACTATAAGTATCAAAGCAGAAATAGTAGTAAATGCTACAAGTACAAACCAAATCTACTAAAAATTAAGAACTAGCCTATGCTTAAGGTTTTGGCATTTGTTTTGGAAACTGAGACAAGGTGCAAAAAGAACAAAGAAGTTCTTAACCAAGGCCCAAATCTCACTAGTGTATTTAACTCATTATCTTACTCATAAGGTATGACATGAATACGAAAACGCAATGTTAACATGAAAAGCATATGGTCAAACATACTGACACAGCATAATGAGCGGGTGTGTTCAGCCAGCACTGAACAGCATTAATTATCACTCAATCTTTAATATTTCCTTTTAATACAAAGTGAAATGCATGAGAATAAACCCATAAAAGAGCACTCTACCAAGTGAAAACTACAGAAGGACTTCATGACCACTTCTTTAGGACCAGAGTTCAGGAAACCATAGCAGAGAAACTTAAACTAGACCTTGAAAACTCAGAGAAACCTGCAGATGAAATAACTAAGTGCATTCCAGAAAGAAAACACCACCACGGTCCTGGAGAGAAGCCTTGCCGAGCTGTGTTTAAACGCACCCTGTAAAAACCAGCCCTACCCCATTACCTGACCAGCCCCACAACAAGCCCTGCTCTCCTCACCACACAGGTGGCTGTGAGCCTCCCCCAAACAGGGCACACCGCGGCCTTTCCCTCCCGCAGAGGAGTGCCCGTTCCCACCCGGCGAACGGTCCCGGCGGTCCCCCCTCCGCAGCTCTTCCCCCGGTGCTGCCGCACAGCAAAGCCCTGCCAGAGGACCTGCAGCTCCTCAGAAATGAGCTTCACCTACGGGCAGCTCCGGCTGGGGAAGAAGGACCGGCCTCCCACCCG